CGAGTGCCGACAGCGTGTGGTCAAGCTTTTACCTTACCCTACGTGAACTCTGCTCCACTACGACGACGTGCAAAGAAGTTTCCATAGGGAAGAGATGCCCAGCACTCATCCGAAGTTGTACACGGAAATAGATTGCCTCCAGGAAAACGGCATGGAGAAATTATCGCACCCATCCAACGGCCACTCAGTGAGAATATTACCGATCCATCTGTAACCAAAGCGTCCGTTTTGTGCGAAAAGATAAGAGTGAGCATCAGCGTCAGCTTATGCGTAAATTTTCATCCAATCCAAAAGCCTTGTATAGTCACGTCAACAGTCTTCGACAAGTCAAGCACGGCGTCACCGCACTGACGACCCCCACAGGGCTTACGAAGTCAGCGAACGAGGCAGCAGAAGTCCTGTGCCAGCAGTATTCATCCACATTCTCCGTTCCATCAATGCATACAACGACATTACCTTCTTCGGTCTCACCCCCAACTTCCCTGACGACTGTTCATTTCACTCCGGAGAAGGTCCTGGCGAAACTCAAATCCCTGCGGCTAACGGCCTCTCCTGGCGCTGATGGTTTCTACCCAAGGCTCTTGCGAGCGTGCGCTGCAGCTCTAACTTTACCCCTACCGGAGCTGTTCACCCACTTCTTCTTGCAAGGCAAAGTTCCCAATGATTGGAAATGTGGGACTATTACACTAATCTACAAAGGCGGTACTCGCAAAGATCCGGCCAATTACCGACCGCTAACTCTCCTCTCTACGATCTCCAAAGTACTGGAATCGATCGTCACAGACGCTTTAATGGATTACGTGGAGGCCCAGAAACTGCTCTCTGTTTGCCAGCACGGTTTCCGGCGTCAACGGTCGTGCCTGAGTAACTTGCGACTTGCCAGGGATAGCTGGACGACTGTTGCCGACTCTAGCCTAGAAACGCATGTTATATTCCTGGATTTCGCCAAAGCCTTCAAAAAGGTCGACTACAAGATTCTACTACAGAAACTTGTCTTACGGCGTTTCAGGGGCCTTGATGGACTGGATCCGGAACTACCTTCAAAACCGTACTATACAAGTACGCGTCGACGGAGCGGTCTCCCTGCATCCTTGCCACAAGCGGAGTTCTACAGGGGGTCTGTTCTCGGACCGCACCTCTTCCTAGCCTTCATTGATGACGTCACACCGCAAGTGGAGTCTTCGCTGCTGCTATATGCGGATGACGCGAAGCTGTGGCGCACAATTAACCTTCCGGACGATGCCCACGCACTTCAGACGGACCTCGACCGTCTACATCAGTGGTTCATAGAAAACAACCTTCCATTTAACGCTTCGAAATGTCGCGTCCTTTCTACCTGCCCTTCCGCTTTTTCTCCTGTATATTACCTGGGAGCGTCTATCCTCCAGATCTTTTCAGCCGAAAGAGACTTGGGTATCATTACCCAGACTAGTCTTTCCGTATCCGCTTCCTGCCGGAAAGCAGCTGCTGCTGCTAACCGCATGGTGGGATTGCTGAAACGAGCCTTCGGTCAAATTGACCCTAGCATTTTCCGCCTCCTCATCAACCCTTTTCTTCGACCCCACCTGGAGTTCGCTATCCAGGCTTGGAGCCCTTGGTTGTTGAAGGACCAACGCATACTCGAAGCTCCACAACGTCGAGCAACCAAACTGGTCCGAGGTTTCAAGCGCTTAGATTATCCACAACGACTTCAGTGCCTGGGACTCTACTCGCTTAAGTACCGACGTCTGCAGGGCGACCTGATCCTTGTATTTATGATCTTATCCAACGCTGGACATCCCTGTCGCCACCTACCCACTCCGCACCAATCGGGCTCCCACCTACGTGGCCACTCACACATCAGGACAGTCGGCTGAACTGCAGACGACACTACTTCGCTTTGCGAATCTGCCGACCGTGGAATGCTCTGCCTGCCGATTTATTCTTGGCACCCACTTAAGATTTTAAGACCCACCTGGACTGTCATCTGGCCGAGTTACACTGCGATATTCCCTGATATACCTATCTTCTACTTGATGGAGTTTCTTTCCCTTTTTTCTTCTACCTACTTCCTTCCCATAGCCGTTTCGGAGGGCGTGGTGGAATGTCACGCTTTGAGTCGGCGTGCATTCCGTTTATATGCCGCATAAACCCGATGAAGTTACGGCTAACACGCGAGTCCAACCCGGTATAAGGTTGCTTGGCCTTTCACTAGACCCGACCCGAACTCTTTTTACCCTATGGGTCATGTAAAGCTCGAGCTTTTCTTCCCATTAAATACAATGTTCCAATGTACCTTTACATCGACATCTTACTAGGCGGCTCGAGCGTCCAGTCGTCTACGTATATATTTATATATATTTTTGCAACAGTCTATGAATAGACATTGCACCATCGGAAACCATGGAACTCAAAACAAGGTACAGAAATAGTAAAAGAAAACACAACACAACAATGTCCACGGTTTCGTCAGAGGGCGAAATACTACCCGGTTGCCCAAGCCGAAGTAGGGTGTTGACTTAGGGGACACCACCCCGAGCCTTTGGCTGAATAGCCTGTCCGCAAGGCAGCGGAGCGAATTCCGGGAATCGCGCCCATTGGGAGCCGGTGACTGATTGATCAGTTCATACGCCTTTCGTTTGTTCCTTTGCCAAACAGGGGCCCAATGCTCCCCGAAATTACGGCATCAACTTGCTGGAATACAATGCTTCGCCAGGATGAAGCAAAGGGCAGTGACTTTATTTAGTGGCGAGTCACGTCCGCCACTTCACAGTGTTGTTAAACGGACATATGTGGCTTTTTATAGGGAGAACGCTTGCCAGGCGAAAACCCACCACGTCCTGGAACACTGCCGCCGAACCATTTGCTGGAACGGGAAAATCCCGAACCACCCAGCTGGCACCACGAGGAGGTTGTTCGGCAAGCCAGCCCCAGTCGTCTACGAGGTATTTATTTTGCATTTCAGCATGTCGCACTACTTGGACACAGAAGAGCTCAGAACGCCGGACCGAATGAATATTGCGGTAATTGCTTTCGCGCTCGTAACTCAGGCAGGCCTTGCTTGCATTAACACAAATGCACAGGGCCTCCTACGCAAATTCGCGGAACTTTACTCTCGACTTCTATCAACGCCAGCGATCCTTATAGCCATAACGAAAACATAGCTGTTCGGCGGCATCCCAGACAGGGAAATCCGACTCACATATCCGTCCGCTCCGATCGCGCAACTCCAGATGGTGGTGTCGCACTGCACTAAGGCGCCTCCCTCGGTCGCACCATAGTGGCAGACTCTGCTTTGCAGTCTCCTGACACCATGTGGTGCAAAGTCGTACTAACTGCCAAACACTCCTGCTGTCTTGGTATCATTTATCGCCCCCTAACAACTCCGAGGATGATGCAAAACTCTTGCACGATATCCATTTCGTTCTATCCCTCAGATACACACCTTATTATGGGAGATTTCAATTTACCCGATCTATTTCTCTCCGTTCCGACGACTGGCTCCTT